TCGGATGGATTTCCGTCGACTTCTCTAATAGGGACGTCGAGGCTTTGACTAGTAGTTCGGGCTCACCCTAGTCCTCTAGTTAACCTTGTATCCGTTGTGTATTCTACTAAATAGTGCCAAAAACAAAGCATATTCAAGGGTTTTCATTCCGAGGCACATCAACGAGAAATATGAGGACACGGTGAGAATGGAATGGGATGGGCAGAGAATAAGCAGCAACTTCGCCTAAAGGATCTAAGCTGCATGGCATAGATAGGAAAGATACTCAGTGCAATTTGTTTGGAAGATCAGTGGACGCTCAAATAAAGGTATCATTTCTCGTGTTGCAAGCATCCCTCGACTAGTTAGCTTCATTTTCGGCCGATGTCATCGAACACTTTGGCAAACCAATGACAGTTTCCATCAGATGGGCGACTTCGCGGATGAGAGGAGGTTACGGATATCTACGTGCCACTGCCACTTTACAAAGCCTGTGAGACCTGGAAGTGTCGAGGGGTCATTCGATCTTCTGGATTGGGGGGAGGGTTGTCAAATATCCTCCGCGAAGGTCACCATAGGGACTACAGATGTTAGACTTATGAAATTTTAGAACCCTATGAAATTTGATCGCAGAATAGGGTTAGGTACGATACCCGGCAGGAACTGGGCAAGCGATGCCGTATGATATGCCGTCCATTCAGATTGCCGGCTAATGACCGAGTTTGTGGCTCGGGCCGAACGGGAAACGCCAATTATGATGTCTCGCTTCATATTGATGAGCGCAAAACCAACTTTTTATATGGCGTAGCTGAGACACTCATTCATGTTTGAAAATAGTCTCCCGTCCTTTAGCTTTAGTAGCGAGGGGGTCAATCCGAATCGTGCGGTCCGTAAGTGCACATCGGCAATTCGGAGATGCTTAATGGGTCTCGATAGGGTTCGGCGTCTGCGCTCCAGAAGTGGAATTTGACTAAATCTTCATCCCGAGAACGCTTGCCTTGGGACTGAAGCAGACAGTTGGGTGAACCGGGCTCGTGCAGACTGACAACTCAACAATCATTAGTAGTGTAAAGAACAAGCCGGCAGCTCAAAAATTCATATAAAAAACCTCATCCGAACCACTCAACAGCACACACCTCTCAAATTCTCAATAATTGACAATGAAAACCTTCACTTCTCTCTTCGTCACGGTCGTCTCCATAGGTCAAGTTATGGCTATCTGCCCTGGTTTCAACTTTGGCATCGGCAACTTACAAGACCTCGGTGGAGGAGTCAATCGCTGTACGTGCTGTGGGAGGACTAACATCCCCTCGTTCGAGTTAGTGAACCAACTAACATTTTCTTCTCTTCAACAAGGGACTGTCTATGACGATAATTGTATAGTTGTAGATGGCCTCGTTACCTCCCTAAACCCTTGCACCCAAGGAATATTCGGATGTTCCCCTCCCCCTCTCCTCTTCAATGAATATACCAGTACCTGGACCGGGCTGAGGTAAAAGCTATCCAAACTCGAATGCCAATTGTATCGAACTAATGATTTTCTACCCTTTTTGTTCTTTTTTCTTATTCTAGGTATGCCTGTCGACCTGACCCTAACTCTGGAAACTGCAGAGGGGATGTTATTTCTGTCTGCGTAAGTCTCGATAGCTATACTCCCGTACATTTTCCCCCTGACTCTGCCACCCTTTCAGTGCCGAAACGACGGTAATTAAGCGCACGACATACGGACGCGTCTGAAGTCTTGACCGTATTATCTCGTAAATCAAATATGTCGTCGTCCTACATAGTCGTTTTAAGGTTCTGGGAAGTACACTGTAAGAGCTCTTCTTGCCTCAGGCCTCAATCGTAAACCAGACAGGGCTTTACTATTGCTCCTG